ATGGGGCCAGGGATTTGAGTCTGCAGCCCCTCTGCCCTACTGAAGCAGCACCTGAACCCTGACTGCCACCTGTAGAAGGTGGCAGTTGCTGCAGCCGAAGCGGGGAGCAGAGTACAGAGCCTGGCTCTTCCTTCCCCAGTAGGTGACATGGCCAGAGCAGAGCGCATGGAGGGGGCAGGTGCAGGCTGCCTGCTGCAGGCTTGGGCTCACCACCCTGCTGCCCTCTCCCTTCACAGCCCAATGGGTGGGACCCAACATGGCAGGGCAGAGTGAGACAGGGCAGGAAAGCTACTTGACACCACTGCGAGCCCCATGCTGCCCTGGCAAAGTGCCCCCTGCCTGCCCAGCAGCAGCAAGGGGCACAACTCTGCACTGCCACCCCTGTTGCTGTCATGTAGGCAGCAGGCACTTCACCAGGGCAGCACGAGACTTGCAATGGCAGCATCAGATTTCCCCACCTGGTCCTGCTCTGCCCTGCCCTGCCATGACAAGCTGTGGAGGCCCTGGGGCAAAGAGCAAGAGGGTGGGGAGCCCGAAGCTGGCAGCTTGCAGTCTGCCCTGGGAGAAGCACTATCTACACTGTCCTGGGGGCAAGGGGAGCACCTGTCCCCAGGGCATGGGGTCAGCCTGCAATGGTGGCAGCAGCAGTAGGAAGGAAGTTCCCCTCCCCAATGGCTATTCCTAGATAGGTGGAAAACACCTTGGGACGAGGAGACAGGGAGGGGAGTGCATGCAGTGGTGGGGAGGCAGCCCCTCCCCCCACCCCGTGGACAAGCCATCCGCAGCTTCATCCCATCCCATCCCCTGCCGGGCCTTGCAGCCAGACATCCTGGCCCCAAGCCCCACACACTGCTTGGATGGGCAACAGCTGCCCTCCTCCCACTCCTCCCAGCCCCTTGCAGGCTGGAACTCTGCCAGCCTGCAGAGGGCTCTTTGCAAAAGTGGAAAATCCATGTGTTTCTCTGTTAAAATGAGAAATCTACATTTTTCTTGGTTGAAAGGGAAAAGCTGCAGTTTTTTCCATGGGACATAGGAAACCCAGATCCCTGATCATCACTACAGAGGAGGCTCAGAAGTCATAGAAAAGATGGATAAACTTGGGGACTGCAGCAACAGAAATAGGATGAAACTTAATAAGACAAATGCAAGGTCATGCTTTGTAGAACTATAGTAGAAAGTCTTGTAAAAGCTGGGTGCAGATTCATTAGAAATGAATGAGCAAAAGAGACGTGGATGTACCAGTGAGTTACAAAATGCACACCAGCCACCAATGTGATGCAACCAGGAGAGAGGCAAATGTAATCTTAGGATGAACCAACCAAAGTTTTTCCATTATAGATAGGGATATTTTAATATCATTATACACAACTGATAAATACAAACTAATGTACAAAGGAAGGGAAATGTACTCTTGTTTATACAGTTAATTTAGAAACTTGTAAGGTAGATCAACTGTGAAAAGGAACCTGCTCATTACACACTGTTCACTACAAACCTCTGCTCAATGGCCCAGTACAGAAAAAAAATAACAACAGAGAAATTAGCTTGCATAAAGAACACAATGAAGAATAATGCAGGAGAAAAAGGAATACATTTATACCAAAATATTGCAGTGGACTGACTGCATCTATCTGGAGAAGGCCATAGCAGTATTTGAGTGAGTTCAAAGAAGGGCAGTGACAATCGAGAGCACAGAAAAAATATTTGAAGAAAGATAGAAAAAACTTGAGTTTGTTTACCTTAGAAAAAAGGTAAGAGGGGTCAAGACAAAAGTATATAAAACATGTGCGTGGGAAAAAGAAATTCTGTTTTCCCTGCTTTATAGCAAGAACAATGGAACATGAAATGAAACTAAAAGTTGTAACATTTTAAATTGATAAACAGAGATACAGTCTCCCACAATCTATGGCTAGATCATTGATCTCATTGCTACAGGCTATCTTGAAGATATCAGGCTGTCAAGAACTGCAGAAGCCTCGAAGAAGGATTGAATGATTATATGAACAATGACAATAATCAGCAGTGTAACAAGTAATGGCAACATAAATACTGGATGAAAGAGAAAACCTGTTTCAAGACTAAAATCAACCTCTAACCATCAAGGTTTAAGAGAAGACCATCTTTACAGAGGGCAAGGCACATGTGCAGTTTCAGACTCCAGGCCCCCTTCCCCCTCAGCAATATGGAAAGGTTTTTGCAGAGGTAAAGCAAAACCCTGAGTCCACTCTGTGCCCTCTGAGGGGAGGAGGGGAGCTTTGTCCTGTGGCAGGGAAAGGCATTACACTTCACTCAGGGTGTAAAAATGTAAAGCTAGGGCTCTGCAATTAATTTGATAGGAAGTGAGGCCTTCAGTCACTCAGCTGCACCTGAGGAAATGGCAGTGTGCAGCAGTTTGCCCCTCCTGCCTCCCCCAAATCTGTATCCCAGATCTGAAGCATCCAGAACTGGCCTCTGCTGGAGACAGTAGTGGACTATAGAAACTACAAGTCAGATCCAGTTTGGCACAGCCTGTGTTCTCCTTGAGTCTGTTATTGAACTGGTTTCCTCAACTGCTGTTGTTAAGGTAGCCTGGGTGTACATGGGTTTGTAATCCCCTCTCCAATTGAGGGAATTATTGGCAGGGCAGTGTGCTGTGGAGGGACACAACAGCCCGGTTGCCTTCTCTGTCCCCTATAGAGTCAGGCCCAGTCAATCAATTACTTAACTATATACAAATTTATTATTACAACAAAACATTAAAAATTAAGGACATAGATTATATATATATGTAAAAATTTACAAAACAATAAATCCTATACCATATATAGATATACACATACACACCCAATTATTATTAAAAAATTCAGATGAACAAGAAAACAACCCAGAACAAAGGATATTGATTTGGCAACCTTGTAACTCTATTAATATACAAACTATTACTTCAACTTATAAACTATAAGGCACTGTCTACAAATATAACAAGCAATCCTTAGACTACCTGGGTGCCCTCCAGGGCAGGGGCTCTACTCCCATGGTACCACTACAGGAAAGGAGATTGGGGGAAAGAAAAGGAGAGGGAGACCCCAAAGACTCCTAAGCTCCCCCACTATCACCCAGGAGCAGCCCACGTGTTACCCCTTCGCAACCCGGGGGGGTGTCCCGCTGGGGGGACCCTCTCTCCAGGGTAACCTACTACTCCACAGTCCCCGAGAGTTACCTCCCATTCTCCAGGTCAAACTCTGTTCCCTGCCGGGCTTCCCTGTGACCCAACTCTGCTACTGCCGGCCTGGCTTAGGGGCACATGCACCGCTGTGTGTAGTGGGTGATTCGCCTTGTGCTAGGGTTTCGAGGCCTGGACAGCTTTGTGCAGCACTGGGCTCAGCCTGCTCCCAGACAGTCTGGGCAGTGTCGTCTGCACTGAGCTGCTACCCCGTGCCAGAAGCTGTAGACCAATGCCACCTCTAGCAGCTCCCAGGGTCACTCACTCTCTGTGCAGCACTTCCTGCACTGAGTTCCTGGCCTCATGTGGAGGTTGGGGACCTGAGCCACCCAAGCAGCTCCAAAAATCCTGTTCCATGCACTAGTCTATGCACTGCATCTCTGGCCTCATGCCAAAGGTTGCAGACTCAAGCCACCTCACACAGCTCCCAGGTTCCAGATGCCTTACACCATGGTGTGCACCGAGAGCCTAACCTCTGGAGCCGTCTGCAGCTCCCTGCCAACGGAAGTCTTCAGGGGCTCTTCTGAGCTACTGCTTCACCTTGCTGAGCAGCTCTCCATAGCTCTTCTAAGCCCTGCTCTTCTCTCTTCTCCATCCCCAATGCATCTCCCTTGTGCTGGGCATGCAGCTCCTTTTATACGCTCCAGGGCTCTGCCCCTGAAGGCTTCCAGACCTGACAGTTTTGCAGTCTACAATCAGGTCTGGGGGAGCTCTTCTCCCCCTCCCCTCAGGAAAGGGTCATGACTTGCTGCCTCCTGATTGGTGGATGGGCTCCACTGACTGAAACAGCAGAATCTCAAGCCTGGGACTCAACCCAAGGTCTGAAAGGTAAGCCTGCTACACTAAGTTTCCCACACCATTACTGAGGGAATTTCTAATGTAGACACATTTTACAAGGATGTTCCTACTGAATTTTGGATGACAGAAATGCACGAGACAAATGCCTATATCCAAAACATAGCCCAGGAATCACTTTCATTTCCAAACTCCATATATGATGAATAATGCCCCTCCCACCAGTAGAAGTCATTGTGCCAACTTCCCATTCTCTGGAAGTGCCGAACATGTCTTTACAGGAAAGTCTCTTGCAGCAGAGTCCTTTTCTGTGCATTTCAGGCTTGAGCTTCACCTCAACTTCATACTTAACTTCAACTTTGCATATTATTTCAAAGAATCTGGGGGACAATAGATCAGTCCCTGGAAAAAAATCATGGAGCAGGTCCTCAAACAATCCATTTCTAAGCACTTGGATGAGAAGAAGGTGATTAGGAACAGTCAGCATGGTTTCACCAAAGGCAAGTCATGCCTGACCAACCTGATCGCCTCCTATAATGAGATAGCTAACTCTGTGGATGTGTGGAGATCCTCTGCCTTGACCCCTCCTGGATGCTGCTTGACCTCTGGTAACCCCAGGCTCCAGGCAGCCTTGCTGCCTGCCAGTGCAGCTGCCCCCAGGGCTGCTTTCAGCATCTTTTACTGTCCTCCCTGCTGGTCCACGTGGCCATCTCTTCCTCATTTGCCACACATGGGTTATCTCCCTTGCCGGGAAGCTCAGTGGCAGGGCCAGATTAACACATAGGCAAACTAGGCATATGCCTAGGGCCCTGAGCTGCAGGGAGGGGCTGGGGGGCTGAGGCTGGTTCTTCTCTCCACAGCAGCAACACAAATAGTCCCATCTGCCTCCCTTCCCTTTCCTCTCTTCCTCTCTGCTGGCCTCACCACCACGGTGGCTGCTTCCTAGCAGCGGCTCTGAGCCCTGCTCCCTGTGGGCAGCAGTGCCGGGGTGGGGAGGGGGGTCTTGACCAACCCAGGGCCCACAAGTTTGTTTGCCTAGGGCCCACTAAGGGGTTAATCCAGCCCTGCCCACTGGATCCCTGGACCTGGATCCTCAGCCTTTAGTGAGTTCTTCCAGGTCTGGGGTGAACATGGGGAAGTGATCCCAGGGTGTAGGGCTGTTCAGACTCCCCCACACCCGTAGTAACAAGGCCCTGCCCTGTTACAGTTAGCCAAAGAAACTGTGAAATCTTCATCCTTAGGGATTTCTGAGACCTGGGTAGACAAAGCCTTGGCTGGGATGATTTAATTGGGGCTGATCCTGCTTTGAGTAGAAGCTGGACTAGATGACCTCCTAAGGTCCCTTCCAAACCTTATTTTCTATGATTCTATATCATGTGCCTACACCCCTAAACACTTTTGAAAATATTACTGCAGCTACAGTAATAAATATAAAAATAATAATTATAATATACAACTTGTCTCTAGGGAGTTATTGTTATGTCAAACAGGCTGATTTTTGCAACACATGGGTTAGTTAGTAATTAGCAAGAATATGCAAGTGTATTATCTTTCTTTCCCAGAGATGCAAGAAACAAACCATAGCTCTATGCACATCAAATCGGAAAACAGCACACAGCTTGCCAAAAATAGGAAGGTTTCTTAATATAAAATAATTAAAAAGAACTCCAGCCTGACCATCAAGGTTAATGGAAATAACTATAAAATATTTATCACTTCCTGTTCCTATTGTGCATTCTGAACAAATGCAAGAAAGACAGAGAAGCCTACCTGTAACAGAAGCTGCTATGACAGTCTCTAGGGAGTCACAGTCCCTCCTGAAAACATTAATTAACTAGAAATAGTGATCTGCATTGCTTACACTGGAGGCAGGAGGGTACTCATTTAGCAAATACAATTAATCAAAGGAAAGGAAAGCTACTTTTTTTAAAAAGCAGCTACTAAATGAAACATGATAGATCAGTTAATCTGGATCCACCTTGAAGCCTGCTGCAAAGCCCCTGGAAGTCACTGAGAGCTTTTCCAAAGAGTCAGTAAGCTCTGGATCACTTATTTTCACTGCTGTACATTAAACGTAACTCCCATAAGAAGAACAAATTTGGCTCGTGAGCAGGGATTCTGGTTTTCTCTGATTTAAAAAAAAAATCCCCAATTTTCAGATTTAAAAAAGTAACTGCAGAGCCACATTTTTCTGTGATTAAAATAAAGCACCACTCTATATTAGTGGCATTTCATTTTAATCACAGAAAAATGTAGATTTTGGGATTTTTTTGAATCAGAGAAAGCCAAGATCCCTGCTCATGAGAGAGTTGAAGAACAGTCCTTTCATTTTCCATGATGGCCTCTACTCAGTTTCCATGTGACAAATGTTGTTTAGACACAGCTGTGTTTGTGTGTACTGGGGATAGGCTTCTTCTTGGGAAAATAATGACAAGTAGCTTGTTCATATATACGTTCTGTCACCTGTGCACAGGAGAGCTCGAATCTAAAGGAGTGTAGAGCAAATAGCACAAAATATGCGGGTTTTGCTTTTTTTTAATTTAGTCCTTAAGTTCTTCCAGTGCTGCAAATTGTCCCTCTCACTTGATCAAAAAGCCCTTTGAGATCTGATTTAAATGTCTTAGTCAAGCAGTAAGCTACAGTAAGACTGGAGTAGTGCCTTAATTTGAGAGGCCTGGGAAGGACGCGAGTCCCCCAACTGTTAGTTCAGACCTAGTTAAGGATTACCTGGAGGGCTTAGATGTGTCCAAATCCATGGGCCCGGATGACCTTCATCCGCGGGTGCTGAGGGAATTGGCTGGTGTCATTGCGGAGCCATCGGCACGGCTGTTTGAGGACTCCTGGTGCTTGGCCCAAGTCCCTAAGGACTGGAAAAGGGCCAATGTGGTCCCTATTTTCAAGAAGGGGAGGAAGGAAGAGCCTGGCAACTACAGGCCAGTCAGCCTCACTTCTATCCTGGGGAAGGTCTTTCAAAAAATTATCAAGGGCCACATTTGTGAGAGCCCTGCAGGGGAAGTGATGCTAAGGGGTAACCAGCATGGGTTCATGCCAGGCCGATCCTGCCTGACTAACCTGGTCTCTTTCTATGACCAGGTAACAAAGAGCTTAGATGGGAAGGAAGAAGTCAATGTCATCTTCTTGGACTTCCAGAAGGCCTTCGACACAGTGTCCCACCCAATTCTGGTGGGCAAGCTGAGGGACTGTGACATTGACGAATGCACAGTCACATGGGTGGCAAACTGGCTCCAGGGGTGCACCCAGAGGGTGGTGGTGGACAGGTCGATGTCAAC